CCACATGATGCCTTGTAGATGTTCATTTGTGGGATGCCCCATAGAGGTTTGAGTATGGGATGATTGGTGTGATTCCATGTGGATGTTTGCCCACATGATGCCTCGTAAATGTTCATCTATGAGATGCCCCATAGAGGTTTGATTATGGGATGATTGGTGTGATTCTATGTAAATGTTTGGCCACGTAATGTCTCATGTAAATGTCTCCCTATGGGGAGTGCGTATTTGCATGTGTTGATTTATACTATGCATGATAGAATCTTGTTATGATTGCTTTATGCTTTTTACTCTTCTAAACTCTTGTACTTAACTCCTGTATCTTTATGTTTACTGATGCGAAAGTTTTGCATATTTTGTAATGAACTAATTTTTATTGATGTTCATTAGGTTTCTGAATCCAGTTTTGACCTGATTGAGGACAATCAGGAACATCAGGATGGCCGACTGTAAGCGGTACAAGATTGGCGTTTGGAATTTCAACATAGCCGGCCAGCCTTAGGCGGCTTTGTCTGGGTTATAAGTAATGAATAGGCGCTGTTTCAATAATAACATTTGTGATTTGGAAGCGGACAGAATACTCCTGAGACATTCATTTATATACCGTTAATATGTTAACACGCATTACTCTTATTGTGAATTACTCTTCTTATATTATATAAGTTTTTAGCTTAATTGTTTAGTATTCAATTTTCTTACATAAGTTTCTGTAAATTATTGTTAAAATGAAGATTTTAATTTCATTACATTTGTTAAACATACTTCCATATAGGAGTTTTATTAAAATTTTATTTTTGTATTTTCAAATGTTTGAACTAAATTAAAACAAATCAGATTATAAATGGATTGTCATTTCAATGCCGTGAGAAGAAAATTGCTGAAAGTTAATACAACGTATTTTCTACGTATATAAAAGGAAGTATAAATAGGTACCTATTAACGTTTTTCTTCCTAATATGAAATATATAAACAAATGCATTTCTAAAAATGTCATTTATTATTTTCAAAAGCTGGATAATCTAGATAATAAACATAGGAATAATCAGGGAGACTAGAGACAAGGAGCACGAACTCATACGGGAAAATTGGCAAAATTTGTCCATGAAATGGCAGAAGTTGGGGTGGCGCTAGTGCATGTGTCCGAAGTGAATGTAGCAAAATAAATAGTGAAGTAAGCAAATAACCAATTTTATTTTATAATGAGTTGAGCCGATATATCGGGAAGGTATAGATAGTATACCTACCCACCAAACATTTTTCAGTTTCTGACATGTTTCAGAAACGTTTCCATTTTTCTTGAAACGTTTCATAAAAAATCCATGCAACGTTCTGGTAACGTTCTAGAAGCCCAAGATGTCCTCCCCAAAATACGTTTCCAATGAAACGTTTCAAAAAATTGGTTTCAGTAACATTCTTTTTATGTTCCATTTATGCCCTCGATATTTTTGTTTTACGTTTCAGTATATTTTCAGAAATGTTTGAGTAACATAATAATTTTATTACCATATTGTTCTCATAATGCTCTCAACTTTAGATCATTTTCATTTCAAAAGCGTTTTTGAAATAGTATAAATAGTGTGAGTATTTTTTTAAATATCTCTAATACTCCTTTGTGATATTTTTATTTGTATTGTGAATGACTTAATTCGAACTAAAAAAAGTTACATTGTATATTAAAAAAAATAAATATGCTCTTCTAGTTTGGGGATGCGGCAACTTTTACTAAGAATTTCTTTCTTTTTGAGAAGCCACTGAAAAAAGTTTCTAATATGGATTATGAATTTTGCCATTCATCGTACAAATAAAAATATCACAAAACAATATCAGAAGCATTAAAAAAAAGCTACACATTTTATATAGTTCAAATACGCTTCTGAAATGGAAATTTTCTAATGTTGAGACCTTCATGAATATGGTAACAATGACGAACTGATAATTAGAAAAAGTTAGTTATGATTATGAATCTTAAAATGGTAGGTA